GAGTTTGCAGACACCAGAAGGACCCACCACAGTGGCCTTGGAAGACAAGGAGCTCTCTGGCAGGGGAATCATGCTGCCACCCACGGGTGTGTGTGAGGCGAAGGAGCAATTGTGTTCCACCCAGAACAATGCTGCTCAGAGGAGCTGCCACTCTCGGCCGGAGGAAGTTAATGTGCCTTCCCTAGCAGAGCCGCTCTCTCACAGCAATCCCCTTTGTGCAGAGCTGTGCAGGATCCAAAGCCACTCGCAGACAGCATGACATTGGCCTCTCCCGGAGACTGACTTGGTACTTTGCTCTGCTCCTATCTCGGCGGTGCCTCGGGGCTCTCTGCTCCAGTGCTTTTCCATAATCCATTCTCTACACTGCAGACGAGAGACTCTCTCACAAAGCGAGCTGCCCCTTCCTTCCCTCAGCCCCTGATGTTCAGATGCCCTCCCTGCACTCAGAATAAACCCCTTGTCAGCAGCACTACCCTAGAGGCCCTGGTTGTATGATCTCAGCCAACCTCCCCATTTTCATTCGTTTCTACTGCTGGTCATGCTGATCCCCTAGGTGGTGACACTTTTGCATCTCCACGCTGATACCCTCTGTCCCTGCAATACTATATGCCCTCCCTTTGGTTTTCTGACTGCTGCTTGACTCCTAAGACCAGCTACCTTCAGAGAATACATTGCTCCTAACCACACACACATGGATGTACTTGTCATGTGCCCAGACAGCACCAGGAAGACCTCTGTCACAGTGCAGCTTCCTCAGGAGGCTGTCGGCTCTCATGGGGAAGGGCTATGGCATCTTAACACTGTCCCCATTGTCTAATAGGTGTTCAATAAATGACCACTGCAGCATGATTTCAAGAAGCCTGCATTTGCAACTCAGGTAAGTATTGCTCAGAGGCTTTAAAGGATTTGTTTAGGATATAAACGATAAATAAGATGCAGTGATTAACCTTGATTGGATTAAAGGCTTCCTGGGAATAAGGCAGGCCCCTGAGTGTGTGAGGAAAGGCATCGCTAGAGATGGTTGGAGAGTGAGGGCACCCATGGAAGGAATGAACATAGCTGATTTGGGGGGTTCATTCCAGGATGGCATTAGTGGCAGGTAGTTAAAGGTAGAGCTTGGAGTATAGTTGGATAAAGTAGGTCTCTAGGGGACTTTTGTCTTGTTCTGGCTTCTTCCTGTACACTGTGTGATCTATTCTTGCCTTTCAAGAAATAGAAAATCTTTGCTACACACTTCTGCCACCATGATGTTCTGCCCAAGCATGTGAAACATATTGAAACCACAAGGCAAACTAACTTCCTCCTATTAATAGTTTCTGCCAAGTGTTTTGGTAACATGGACAAATAAGTAAACTCTTTCCTCCAAGTTGCTTTTGATCGTGGTCTTTATCATAGCAATAAAAAAAAAAAAAAAACAAGCTAAAACACACACCCGGCAGGTGATTGAACAGACAGCGTTATCAGCTTTGCCCAAACCTCTCGTAAGCTACATTCAGCAGCCATTTGTTGTGCATTAAAAGGTAAGTCTGTTCCAGGAGCACAGTGCTGGTGTGGTAAAACCCCGAAACTTGGCAATGGACCTGAGTATAGGCTGCAACATTCCATCAGCGGAAGTTGGCAGATGGGTTCATAGAATGGTGAATTAACATAGAGTTTAAGGCTTAGAAACACACGATTCATTTTGAAGGTCCCCTGTGACCATCAATAAGAGGTCCAGCCCGTAGGACAGCAGCTAGACCAGAGGTCTCGTGAGATATTAACTTTTCATCTTTTCACCAGACCTGAAGCAATGCTGGCACTCTAAGAGTCACTGTGAAAAGACAGAGTCTAGAGGTCAGAAAAAAAAGTGCTTGTATCTGGCAATGGATTTGCTGTCCGCCAGCTGTGGAAGCAGCTGTAAAGCCCCAACCTACAGGCATGGGGGCAATCTTTGGTGTGCTGGTTTACTGTTGATCTCAAACAGGACGACAAATGGGAAGACTATGACATTGCTACAATCCTGGCCGTGGAAGTGTGTGTTATTATTCTGCAAGTGCAGGCTCCCATCCTCCCACACGGCCTCAGGTGAGCAGCATGGGGAATCCTGGGACGAGATATTTTAGGGACCAAAGGACCTGATATTATTATAAAACGATGAGGATTATTTAATCCCTGTGGCATCTATTCTGGGCAAGCACAGAGGTGAAAAACCCATGATTCACTCATGTAACTTTGACGTTAGGTTCCTGCATGGATGTTTGGCGGTGAGCAGGTCAAAAGGAGACCCTTGCTGTATAAGGATTTGATTTCTCTTACATATGCTGTGGTCATTAGTTTTTGCTCTTTGAGTTTTGTTTTGTTTTGTTTTTTGACAAAATGCCTCCCTCAGATTGGCCCATGCAGTACTTTTTAGTTAACAATAGATGTCAGAGGTCCAGCCTGCTGTGTACAGTACCACTACTGGGCAGGTAGGCCTGGGCTGGGCTGTGTGGAAGAACAAGCTGGGCAGGCCATGGAGTTAAGCCAGTCAATAGCATGCCTCCAGGTTCCTGTGTTGAGCCCCTGCTCTGACTTTTCTTCATGATGGACTGTGATCAGGTAGTGTTAACTAAATAAACCCATTGCTCCCCAAGTTGCTTTTGGCCATGATTTCTTTACCATGGCAATAGAAAGCAAACTAATACACACATGGATGGGAATAGGGACAGTTCTCAGAACTCAATTTTCTGCCTCCTTACCAATGATTAACTGCAGCGATCAATTGTGTCAAAGTTCAGTTCAGCTGAATCCTTGGTGACGCTGGTGAGACCGTGCCTCCTGCTTGAGTTAATGGTGACTGTAATATGAACAGGTTGATCTGCTGTAGAGAATGTGAGGGACCATTATCTTTTCTAGATGTCCCTCCACCCCTTTTCTGCACACCTGACCTCAGCCCAGCTACTCCAGCAGACACGGAGAGGAAGTAGGCTGGGAGAGCACCACAGTCTACATCTGGAAGTAGGTTAAAGGTTTCCCATTTAAAACATTTAAATCTGGAGACAACCTATGGGGTGGATGTCAATGAACAGTCTCTATTTCATAAATAAGACAGTTTTGGAGAAATAGGTAAGAGCAAAGAACAGCAAATGCCTTTTCTATCCCATCCTCATGATACTTGTCACCTCTTCCCTCTGAGGTTCCTCACCACGTTCCCAACCTATCCAACATCTACTCTTTAAGGAGTTCATTGATGCCACCTGATGAGGATAATTTGTGATTTGATTTTAGTTTGTTGATTCTTGGGAATCTGGAAGGTGCTTCTCTAAGCCTCAGTATTTGAATCTTGCCTAAGCATTGCACAGTGCACCTCTCTCTCTCTCTCTCTCTCTCTCTCTCTCTCTCTCTCTCTCTCTCTCACACACACACACACACACACACACACACACACACACACACACACCAGTGCTGTGCTCTTTGCCACTGTCTCCAGGTTGGAATCAGGACCACAGTTTAGGTGGAATTGGAATGTGTAAATACCCACCTCACATCTGCTTATGGGCAACCTAACAGGTGCTCCCTTCCTTCCTCCCTCCCTCCCTCCTTCTCTCTCTCCCATCCTCCTTCCTTCCTTTTTCCATGTGTTGTGCGTGAACAGACACATGTGTACAGAGATTATAGGAAAATATTGGGTGTCTTCCTCTGTCTTATTCCTTCAAGACAAGGGCTCCTGATCCTGTACAGATGCTTGTGGCCTTACCTAGTAGGTTTTTGCTGTTGTTTTTTGCTTCAAACATAGGTACTGATGATCTGAGCTTAGTCCTTCTGTTTGCACAAACACTCTTACACACTAAGTCATCTCCCTCATCCCTGAGAAGCATTTCTAGTGGCTGAGTTGATTGTATGATTTCTAGAATGCTTCTCTCTGGTCTTTTCCTTTAAGGTGACTGAACAGGGAGGGGTCCCAGATGAACTTGGGTGCTATCCTGGGCAACAAAAGTTTATAGGTGGGGTTGCCTGTCCTCCTAGGCTCAGGTAGTATACTGATGGTTGTGAGTGATCCTGTCTTGGCTGTGTTCCACCCCAGAGAAGGAATCATGGTTTCTATAACCTAGCAGATGAGGGAATCATGGTAGGTGAAGAGTCTGGTGGCCACTCAGTTGTATCAACTGTGGCTCTCAACAGTTTCCAGCAAGTATCAGAAACAAATGTTGAATTTTCCTGCATCAATCATCTGATAAACTTTACTTCCCAGCAAGGTCAGAGCTGATCGCCCCATAAATAAGACCCTATAAAACCCGTGTCAACACAGCAATGCATTTTAGGATATTTTTGTAAAATTATAATTTTTACAATACCACTTTACATGACGTTAGCACATTTGGCATCTCATCTGATTCTTCCAATTCTGAGGCATTTTATCAAGAGGAAATGGAGAATATCGGGTGAATGTAGAAAGCACATGGTACCCGCCTGGCAATTCTCAATGCATTCTGGATATCTAGACTGACTCATGTTTTATTTGCATGTAATAATCATCATAATAATGGGTCCCACTGTGACATTTTCATGCCTGTTTATAATGTATCTCCTGTCACCCTCCCACTGACTGACCCCTTCAGTACAGCACTGAGTGACGGGCACTGTTATTGTTTGTTTTATGCAGAGGGTAGTATGTGTTCTGGCACACAGCTGAGAATCATATAGAAGAATTTGCACTCGGGTGGAAATCATATAGAAAGAATTCAAACTTTAGTAGCTGAGCTCTAGAGCCCTCCTCAGAGTTGCTACAAACCTGGAGCTCAGCCCCAGTCCCATCTGACTTCAGACCCTACAACTCGATTTGTTGAGAACAGAACGCGTCTCTGAGTACTCAACATGTGACTGCACACACTACTTTCCCTATATGAACTTATCTAGCATGCCCCATCTGGGGGAGGCTGCGGTGTGTGGCTACCTGAGTTACTCAGCTGAGGTAGCCTGCATGGAGTTACCGTGTTCCTCGCTGCCTTTCCTTTGCAGAGTCACACGAATGAGTGCATTCCTGCTGTGCAAAGTCAACTGCTGTCCCAGGCACCGGCTTCTGTTTGCTTTGCCTTTGCCGAGCTGTTTGCTCTATGAGAACAGAGCTGAAAGTAGCAAGAGTGAGTAGGCTTCTCAGGCATCTGGGAAGCTCACCGGAGCGCCTGTCACACAGACATGAAGACAGGGACCCAGGCTTGGAGGACCCTGGCAAAGTCATGTCTTCTCTGCGCTGCCCTGGGATGTCTCCATCTCTCTGGGTCCAGGTAAGTCACGGGTACACATGGTTCCCTGATCAGTTACATAGCAGAGAGCGTGAAAACCACTCCGTGCTGACCAGCCTGCCACATGCCTGTGGACAGAGGGACATCTCTTGGAGCAATTTGCTTGTGTCTGATAAAATAAAATCAACAACTCCCTCTGAATTATTGTGGGCCCAAGTGGCTGGCTTCAAGAAAAGCACCTGTTAAAGAACTGACATATTTAAATGAACTTTGTCATGCTGAGAAGAATAGGAGACATGTTCTATATTCTGAGTGAAGCTTTGGTCTGGCTCTTCATGCAAAAGGAGGATTATTATATATGGAAAAAAAGAGCCAGTTCACATGATTGATCTGAATAAATGGCAGTGTCTTGCTCTACCCACCCAGCAGCCCCGTATATCTAGGGTGAGTGGGTCTCTCAAACTCTTTCTTCCTCTCTTTACCCTCCCCCTCTCACAAATGTTTTTCCCAGGAGCTAAACAACTGATTTATTGCATCCAAGTTTCTAGTCATAGGATGTAAAAAGAGCTAAAGAAAATAATCTTAGTCGGACCTCAAACTGGGATTCTAGAGAAAGAGGTGCCAGAGTGTTGGCAATCTGGAGACCCTCCTTGTGCCTGAGCAGTTCCCACCATGAGATGTGGAAGTGCTCAGGTACCGGCGTAATCAGGTACCAGAGTGATCAGGAGCACTGCTGTGGAAGGAGAGGGGTGCTGGTTTTTCTTTACTCTCCGACTGCTCCCCGATAGTAACCTTTCAATGGTGTGAGCAGCGCCACGCTGTGCCTACTGTCCTGAGCCAGGCATCGTGTTAGTCATCTCTGTAGAGCACCTTCCCAGGGGTCAAGATCATGAGTCTTCACCCACCAGACACCCCAGCACTCACCCTTAGAGTCAGCATGACCCTCAACTTGGTGGACAGACTAACTGTATCGCCAGGGCTTTCCAAGCATTGACTTGTGGGCACAGAGAAGCCTGCAGTGCCCAGGGAGTTGTACCAAGAGGGGAGGGCTCATACAACCCTCCCAGAGGCAGCATGTACTTGCAGGCGGCCCCTTGTTTATGATGGAGTGTGTAGAGCTGAACAAGACCCTCACTCGTGTTCTCAGGGAGCAAGGCAGTGTGTGAGCAAACACCGAGACATGAGAGATGATACGGGCACAAACAGCAATCAAGAGAGAGCAAGAGTGACTAGTTCTGGCAAGGGATACAGGGTGCATCCACCAGGCACTGGTAACAGCATACACAAAGGCATGGAGGTGTAAGAGAGCCTGGCTTGTTCCCAAGGCTCCAGGGACATTTCAGTCTCATTGGGTAGACAGCAAGGTGAGAACTGGAAGGAGGAGGAGGAAGAAGTAGCTAGGGCATGGAACCATTCCTTCAGGTGTAGATGGTTTGAAATAAACACAGTGGGGTGTGTTTATTGGCAAGTTCTCTTTTAAGTAGGGGCTGTGATTCCACCAGGTACTAAGTGCAGGCTATAAAACTCACAGCTCTGTCCTAAGAGGAGCAGGGGTGGCCCCTTCTTCCCACTCTGGAGAAGGACAAACCTGATCCCCAGAGAGGAGAAGAGAATGGCTCGCACTCAGTGAGCCTCCAGCCCTTCCCGAACCCTGGTTGAATGTTCTGCTCTCCACCCAGGCTTCCCACACGCCCGTCCTGAACACAACATGCCTTTGAGTATCAGACACAGAAAGCAAAACCAAAGTATTCTCTGTAGGAGCAGAAAGTGTTGCAACCTCTTTCATATCAGAAACTTTGTCATTTCATTGCTCAGGCCACACTGTCATGTGACCTATTGATCTGTATTGATCATCACTCTGTTCCAGGCCTTTACTCTCGTCCCCACAGCCATTCTCTCACAGTTGTAGAGAGAAGGGAACCGGGGCTTAAAGACCGTGTGGCTCTCAGGGCTATTCAGTCCATTGGGGGCGTGTGTGCAGAACGCAAGCATTCTTTCTTTTTCCTGCCTCTCATCAACACACTTCCCAAATCCATCCAACTTGCTGGGCACCCAGGATGTTTCTCTTGGACACAGATTTGCTTCTTTGAGATGTTGCTTTAAATTCTGTGTCTGCAACAGCAAACGACAGAGAGAAATGGGAAACCTTTCCCCCAGAAACCACTCCCCCATTCCAGCAAAGTGGAAGATGCTGTTGGTACGGGGATGCAGCTGCCAAACAAATTGCGTGTGACAAGAAAGCTGTTGTGTCAGGGCATTTTCCACAGAAAGCCAAAATGTATTGATGTGCCCCATCCGTATAAGCTGAGGGCCGGGAATTTACTGCTGACCTAATCCTGCCGTGCTTGGTGGATCCATCTTTATTTTGATCAGAGAAAGAGGGGAGAAGACCTGGACCCAGACCGATATGCCCTAAGGCTGGCAACAATATTCTGTGCACCCCAAAGAAAGACATGTCCTTGTTGGCACCTCCTAGAAGGGACATATTTCCAGTGATGTATAAAATGCTGCTAATGCTAACTTTTTTTTTTGAAATTGCAAAATGTTGTTAGGATATAAATGTCCCTCAGAGGAATCAATGGCATGCAAAAGATGTAGGGGATAGCATCTGGATGAAAGAGGCAATACTAGGTTCCTTTAGGAATCAATGTGGATCTGGTTGGCATGGGTGGGCAGACGCCCCCACGTCCGAGCAGTAGTAGAGGAAGATGTACAAGATCAAAGCAAAGCACAGGAAGGTGACGCTGAACAGTGCACAGATGAACAAGAGCATTTGCAAGATGCTCGCATGACACACAGCGTGTCTGCGACAGTCACTGGCCTCGGAAGAGGATGGTGAACAAACAGGACTGGGGCCAGCGTGGTACCCAGATGCCCAATTCCCGGAGATGCCTCTCAGTTAAAGACTACGCAAGTGTGGCAAAAGATTGACAGGGTCAATTGTGGGTGTGGGGCCCTGGGTGATTATTAACGTTGGTACTTCTCAAGGCAGTTTTATGCTACAGACGAGTTGGGCTTTGCATTCGTGTCTGCTAACTGCATGTCAGGCTTTCATTACGGCCCTCCCATCCATGCTCCTAATATACTTTGACCACATGCATCCCCTCTATTACTCTTTCTTATCTACTTTCCCCATATGGAGGCATCTCAGCAGAAGCCAAGGCGGTGGGCTTGTTTCCATAGAAATTCCTCAGGGCGGAAGGTGCACATAGCCGCACGCAGAGGCCTCAGTTGAACCTGTCATTTGTGCCACTCCGTGCCAATCTCAAATTCAAGATGGGGCTTGACAGTAGCCTCTCTTCTAGATTTGCATTTTGCGGCACTAATGAACCACGCTTACCCGATGTAATTTACAAACATACTATTTATTCTGCTGATTATTTCATTATATTACCACCTCCGTAATGGAAATTGGGTGTTAAAATGAGAGAGCTGGTGGTTATAGCTACGTCTTGCGCGTTCCTTCTGTAAGTCATCATCTTGCCCATTAACGGGCTCTCAGATCTTGGTGAGGAAAATAATTGTGACTCTTAATAGCGACTGTGCATGTTACTTATCCACTTGGTCTCCACTGTGGTCCCGAATTGGGGTGATACTTAGAAAAAAAAACCCAGCGTAACTGCTTTGTAGTTGAAATAGGAAGAAGGTACCCCACAGAGCTGTCAAATACATACTTAGGAGAAGCCAAATCACAGACAGTATTGTTTTGTCAAACGTGAGCAAATTAGTAGATAGGAGCCCATCGGAGGGCCCCCGCTGGGGTGCAGCATCCTGCCTCAGTAACCACTTTCAAGTACCCACCTGTGGTTTCCAGTAGAGTCTTTGACCTTTTGTTAAAGATCCAACTTTACCAGGCAATTGATTTTTGCCAGTCTCTGGGGCCCGCCATGGAAATGGAGCTCACAGTAGTTAATATTATCCTCCTTTTAGGACTTCTGCCAAGTGAGAATGTGTCGTTAATGACCTTGTTTGGAGTGATGTCCTGTGTGTTTGACAGTGGAGACTTTGTGATGTTCCCCCTAATGACTTAATCTTAGAGACAGGTATGAAACAGGCCTTGCAGACACTTATAGAGAGAGTGATGGGAGGTGACAGGAATGGATACAGCTTGGATCCGCTCCCAGATATCATGGGCCAAGGGGGAGAGTGTATACTCAGGCTCAGACAGACCTAGGCTTAGATCTCAGGGCAACTATGTCCCGGGTTCACTGCAGCAGGCTTGCTGTGTTGTTGTGAGCCAGTTCAGCATCTGTCCAGGTGACCTCATTCCATAGCTGCCTTCTAGTGTATCTGTGGGATGGAATGAAAGCATCAGAAAACATCTAGTACAATGCTTAGGTCTGACATCCTAGGCCCTCAATAAATCTCCATTCCTTTCTTCCTTATAACTCCTTTTTAGCTTGCAAAGTACAACTTCCAAGGGCTATTACACTGATATATACACTCACGGAAAGAGATAAGAAGACAATCGTAGTACATCTACCATGGTCTAGGTAGGGAAACTGAGGCTCACACAGATGATATAATGAGTTCATTCATTCACTCGGCCCTGCTGTGTGCCAGGGACTTAACAAATAGCCTGCCTTACATTTCGGACATATTTCATTTCCCAGGTCACTTGTTGGCTCTGATGGGTGACTCCTCTGCCCTCTGCCCCATCTCTGTGCTTCGCCCATCTCCACAGATGTTTCATGACCTGCATGGCTCAGTCTGACACCGGTTCCCTCCTCTTCTGTGTCCCCGATGCCCTCCCCCCACACACACACATTTCATGTTGTGGTAGTTGGTAGTTTGAATGATAATGTCTCCCATAGGCACAGATGTTGGAATACTTGGCCCCCAGCTGGTGGTTAGTCTTGGGTGGTCTTGGGGAGTGCAGTACTGAAGGAGTATATCACTGTGGCCTAGGTTTGAGGTTGCACCGCTTTGTGCCATTTTCAGTTAGCTCTCTCTGCTTCCTGCTTCTAGTTCAAGTCCTCAGCTTTCCCTCCAGATGTTCTGTCTGCTGTTAGCTTCTATGCTTTCCTACCATAACGGACTCTTGGTCCTCTGGAAATGTAAGTCAAATAGACCCATCTGTAAGTTGCTTCAGCCATAGTGTTTTATCACAACGATGGAGCAGTAGCTCATGTATTTGGCCCACTTCTCTCCAAAGAGACCAGTCTCTGCCCCTCCTCACCTTCTCATGATCAGATCTGTTTCTTCAACACAGAACTCTTAGTGATTTCAGAGCCAGGTAGGAACTGTGCCTTGAGTGAGTTTCTGTGGCTTTCCTATGAGCACCTAGAGCTTAGCTTGCCTCTACCATCTTCCCCAACATCTCTGTCCTCCTATGTCGCCACCACTAGGCATTCAAGTAGGATACCAGCATCAACCTAAACTCTCTCCTCCCTCTCATCCCCTCCCAGTCCATCCTTTTGCTGATCTCCTCCCATCACTTCCGCTTGAGAGCTTACTCCCCTATTCCTCTACCCTGGCCCTGCAATGGTTCAAGTTCACATCATGCACAGGGTGGTTGGAATGGGACACTCCTGCACCAGCTTCCCACCTTCTACCCAGCTTCCAGACTCAATGAACTCATGCCTAAGCTCTACACATCTTCAACCCCAGCTCTGGGCATGGGGCCTGCACGCGTTAAAAATTGCTAAGATGCAAGGTATGTTTCTCTCTTAAGAAGACCCCGTACCATATCCCCAGAAGCCTGATGTCTTCAGTACCAAGTGTTCTTGGCACATGTTTCGTGGATATTTAATCTGAAAAGACATCAACTAGGGCAAACCCCTCAATCTTCAGAGGATAAAAAGGGAGACCCAGAAATAGGGAGTGTGGTGCTGTGATGAATTTCCTGTGTACCCTTAATTCCTAAGAGTTTAAGCGCTCACTTAGTGACTATAATTTGTAAACCAGAAACAGCCATGTAAGGGAACACATTTCAGCCACTGTATGGAGGAGAAGCATGAAGCTCATACAGATCAGAAACCGGATGGCACAAATGACCGAGATACTGTCTTCTTACCAGAGTCCAGTACTTTTTAGCACAGTACTCCTAATGTCAGGCACGTCCTGGGGGCTCAGTACAGATTTGTTAGATGAATTAGCAAGCACTGGAACGATAAATGGCCCACCCTGCCCTCATGATCTGACCTGCATTTGATGGAATGGGTGATTGATGGGTGGCAGGGAATGACTCTAATTCCTTTGGGATATGCGACTATTTCCTTACGATGATTTGTAGAGGAGAGAAGCCAGATTTCTTCGACACAGATGCAGCCAACCAGAGCCTCGTTAAGAGCAGACAAGCACGGAGTGTGGATGTCCCTCCAGCGCCCATTGACTGTAAGCTATCCAGCTGGTCCTCCTGGACGGCGTGTGACCCCTGCCAAAAGAAAAGGGTAAGATCTCAGGCCTTGGATGAGCACTAAACTTCTGGGCATGGGTGGGAGGTAAAGAAGGAGACTTGTCTTCAACATCTGGCAGAGGCGCTAGTGGTGGTGACCGGCCATAGTCTGGCCTTTAAGATGCAAGCCATCAGAGTGATTCTCCTTTCTCTATGCTTTCTCAAACAGCAAGCCGGTGCCTCCTTGGGTATTACCATGTTTTCCACACATCTGTCTTTGCCACGTCCTGCCTCTGACCTGCTCTTTTTATCCGTCATTCACAGTATAGCCAGGGAAGCTACCACAAAGCTACATCAGACCAAGTCTTTCCCCCAAATGAGCCCTAAGAATCAAAGCCAGACTTGTGTGTCACCTACCCTGGCCTCGTCTCTGTGATACATCAGCTCTTGGAAGCTTCCAGCTGTGTCGTTTGCTCTGGGTCTCTGTTCATGATGTTTTCTCAGCCAGCAATGACCTCTCCCACTATTTTTACTTTCTGACATGACTCAGAACTTGATTCTCTGCTCCAGGCAACCTCTTCCATGAAGCCTTCCCTGACTGCTCATCAACCCTAGCTCCACTTAGGTAAAACAACTTTTACAGGCTTCTGTAGGTCCCCCCCTACCCTATATCCTAGCATATATCATAATGTGGCTTTTATCATTTGCTGCCATAAACAAAAAACTTGTAAGTGTGCATGCATGTTAACAGGTGTTTCATAACACTCATATTTGAGCTCATTCTGCTTTCTGACATCTTCGCAAGGAAAAGAAGGTGGCTGCCACCTATTCTGTTAGGCAGATTAATGGAGTCTTAGAACAGGTATAAGTGGCTTCTCAGAGCCTTCTAGTAGCAGATAAGCCTTAGCTCAGGCCATGGGGTTCGTCCTGATTTTTCTGCCAGTAGAGTTTGTCTCCATGGTGCCTATCCTTTGGCTTCTTTGCAATGGGACAGCTGACCTAGGACCCCAGCTCTGAACAAAGCAGATATGCCAGAAAAGAGAGAGAGAGAGAGAGAGAGAGAGAGAGAGAGAGAGAGAGAGAGAGAGAAAGAATATATGGTTGCCCATCCCTTGGCTCCTTGGGAAACCAGACCTATCATGGCAAATACTCAGAAAAGGCTGAGGAAGCCAGCCCAGGGCAATTTTGCAGTTAACCGGATCAATGGGGGAGAGCCCAGCACTATCGTTCTGTTCCCAGAGTAAGTTTTCTTGCTGAAGTTATCAATATTGATCCAATTATCTGGATAATTGCTCCATCTGCACCATACACCAGAAGGACTGAGCGTGAGCCAGCCAGTCAGAGCTGGTCCCTGGAACTCACTGTGGACTTCTTCAGTTGGCACCAGCCCTGTCTGCAGGCTCCATGGCTAGGGTTCAGGAAAACCTCTCAACCCAGGCTTAGAGGTGCATTTCCATCCTTCCCAGACCTACTTTGACTTAAGAGCTTAGGGATAGTTTTCTGAGAGCCTACTACATATGTGTGGCTTTATTTGTATCCTTTAATTGACTTCCAGTATTTGTGCTATTTGCGAAGTATAGTTTTATAATTTGATACCTATATGCACTGGGCAATGATCAAGCCAGGGTAATTAGCCTTTCCTTCACTCAAATATAATTGTTTTCTTCTGTTGACATGTAGAGAAACTTGAACATCAACACTCCTAGTTACTTTGAACTATACAATTATTGTTCACTTATCTTCTGAATTATATAGAGCATTAGAACCCCACACACAAAGTGTTTTGATAATCAATAGCACCCCTTCTCTGCCCCTCCTTTCTTTCTAGCTCCTCACAACCTCTAGTCTATCCTCTACGTCTGTGATGAACTATTGTTCATCTACAAATGAGTAGGAACCTGTGATTGGCTTTCTCTGTCTAGCTTATTTCCCCTAGCATGATGTCCTCAGATTCCATTCATGTTGCACAAATGACTGGATCATCCTTTTATAGGTGACTAGCATTCCATTATCAATTATACCATTTTAATCCATTCATCTCTTGATGAACGTCTTTATTGATTTCTTATTCTTGGTATGGTAAATCTTGTTGTAATAAATATGGGAATTATGATTTATTTTTGATAAAATGCCATCATCACCTTTGGATGTATACTTAGGATTTAGACTATTGACTCATATGGTAAGCCTATTTTCAGGATTTTCAAAATTAAAAAAGAATTCTTCCTTCTTCTTTGTTCTTATCTTCATCCTCCTCCCCACCCTCTTCCCTTCCTCCTTCCTTTCTAGAGCCTCTGGTATTATTTTCTGTAATCCATGATGGCTCTATTAACTTACTTTCCTATCAACAATGTGTAAGGCCTTCCATTCTCAATCTTTCTACCATTTATATAATATCATTTATACATATTTGTAGAGATCATAGATTATTTGCCCCTTTAAAACTCAGATTATTAGAATTTTTTTATTTGAATTCCTTATATATCCTGGGTATTAGCTTCTTGACAGATGAAGTTTGCAGATACTTTCCTCATTCAGTTTGTCTCTTAACACTGTTGATCATTTCCTTGTCTGTGCAGATACTTCCTAGTATGACCTAATCCCATTTGTCTAGCTTTGCATTTATTGTCTATACTAGCTAAAGTCTTGTTTGCTCAATACTTAGGTATTGAAATGTTTCCCTGGTTTCTTTCAGTTGTTGCATAGTTTGAGATTTTACGTTAGATCTTTGACACATTTTAAGTTTTATTTTTGGTTTGTTTGTTTGTTTCAATACAGGGTGTCTGTGTGTAGCCCTGGCTGTCCTGGAACTCACTCTGTAGTTCCATAGTGGCTTCCAACTCAGAGATCTACTTGCATCTGCCTCCAAAATGCTGAGATTAAAGGTATTATCCACCACACCTGGCAAATTGTTTTTTTTTTAAAATATATAAGGGCCTTTCTAGTTTCAGTCTTCTACAGATATGTGTTCAGTGTTCATTCATTTGTTCTCTCTCTCTCTCTCTCTTTCTCTCTCTCTCTGCTCATATGTACTTGAGTGTGACTACACATACAAGGAGGTCATTCATAAAGCTCCATCTACATTTTTTGACAGAATATGGGAACCCAAGGATGTGGATTTTTCTCACCTTGACTAAAAGTCAGAGAGTTCAGGCCTATTCTTGCTCCTTCAAGGTTATTAACAAGAAGTTTGACCCAAGTTGTGGCTACTAGCAGGATGTATTGACCTAGAGTGTGGTTACTTGATGCTTTGCATATTGAGAAGGTGATTTTTTTTTGTTCCTTGTATTGTGGTGAAGAAGTCCTTTGTCTTCCCCCTCCTCTTTGGATTGGGGTATATAAAGTCTATGCAGCCAATTTCAGTTTTTACGGGTGCATTCTCCTGACTTTATCTTGTGTCTCTGTCTTTAATCTTTAATTTTCCACCTGCCATTTCTTAGTCATCATACTTCTCTCCAAGCATGGATGAATAATCTAGGTGGGACCCAGATGATGTTCCTGCCCTGACATGGGATACAGCAAATGGTGCCCAACATGGGTCTTATAAGACATGGTGCCCAGCATGGGCCTTACAAGAAATGGAGCCCAATGTGGGGCTTATGAGACTTAAGGTCTCTTACTTGCCTAAAATCACCAAGTAGGGTAAACTGCCTGGCTGGAGAGTTTCAAGGTTATGTATGCCACATATACATCCCTGGTACTACAAGTATATACTACCACACCTGGCTTTTTAGAAGTGGGCTTTGGAGATTGAGCTCAGGTCCTCAAGGTTGCAGGGTAAGCATATTACCTACTGAGTGATCTCCCTTGTATGCCCAGTTTCCAACACCACTTATTTTTTTTTTAAACATACCCCTTTCTAGAGTATGTGTTCTTGTTGCCTTGAAAAGCTATGCTGGCTCTATGTAAGTGAAGTTACCTCTGGGTTTTCTCTCTGTGCCATCACCCTTGTGCATACTCATATATCTGTCCCATATTTTTTGATCACCTTTGCTTTGTAGTATGCCTTAAGTCTTGGGTTGTGATGCCCCTTGCTTGTTCTTTTTGTCCAGGATTGTTTTTACTATATTTTCTGGATGGTTTATGCTGCTATATAAATTTTGTGATTTTCCCCCACGAGCTGTGTAAATATGGCAATTCATGTTTGACAGGGATTGCATTGAATCTTAGATTACCTCGGTTAGTGTGGACATTTTAACATTATTTCTTCTAACCCGTGAAAACAAATTGTCTCTCGTCTTCTTCATTTTCATTATGACAGTCTTTTGCTTCCTACATTAAATTCTTTCTTCATGTCTTACCATTTTTGAGAATGTTATAAGTGGAATTATTTTAAAGCTCCTTTTCAGCCTGTTTGAAGCATAAAGAATGCCTTTGGATTTTGTATGTTAATTTTATATCCTGCAACTTAATTGTACTTATCAGTTGCAGCAGTGTTTTGGTGAAATCTTCAGAGACTTTACATACAAGATTGTGCTACTGACAAACAGAATCCTTTTACTCCTCTTTTCAATTTATCTGCCTTTTATTTCTTTCTTTTGCCTAACTGCTCAACCTTACATTTCCAGTTCTGTATTGAATAAGCATGTTATTTAGTCCTAGATTTTTGAAAATATACCTTTAACTTTTCCCCATTTAGTATGATAATTTGCTGTGAGTTTGTCATATAGTATACGGACATTCTATGTATACTGTATGTATAGTATAGGTATATATTGTATGTTCCTTATGGACTTCGTTTGTTGATGTTTTCCTAGTTTGTTTGTTTATGTTTGTTCCTCAAAGTTGTATTTAAGGTCCAAGTCTACCATCTAGCAAGGATGCGTCTCCAAGGAGAATGGCTGTCTATTACCTTTTGAGTTTCCAGATCCACGGTACAGATGTCACATAAGGAGTGCCTTATGCCACACTGAAGGGGGCGGGTACTCTACTTATTTCCCACATGTTGTGACTGCTAGCAATAGAAAACCACTCAAATGTAATCACTTCCTTCTGTGCCCCCTCTCCCAGGCTGGGATCCCTGGTGGCCGGCCCTCCTCTGCCTCTCTCCAACTT